AAAGTCTGTAAGAAAACAAAGAAAAGAAATAGACAAAAATCATAATGTGCCCGAAGCACATAACATGTTTAACTGATTTATTTATAACTTTTTTTTATTTATGTGCATGTGATAATATTTTTGTCTGTATTATTCTTTCTTTGCATTTTTTTTATCCCATTTATTTCTTCGACACTATTCATTTCTGCCTGTCGTTTTGACATTTCTTTATGCATTTCTGCCTCATTATGCAAATGAAGAAGGTGTGTGTCTTAAAGTGTCATCTTCTGCTCATTGAAAAGAGAGCCAATTCAGTCTATCAACATCAGCTTAGGTCCTGTGGCACATGGTTATGATTTTAATTCAAATTTCATAGATGAACTTGAAACAAAAAATATCAGCACCAATGGAAAAGTCTGAATATATTGAAATGGTAACGAAAAGTTTACTCTCAAGTTAAATTCTGTTTGTCACCTTTTGGTATCTTTCAATGGCCTCAATTTAAGTTTATCCGATGAACTACCTTTACGTTCTGTGATTGGACAAATCAATGTCCTATCACATCCCTTCTAATATAAATTAAGAGTGCTGATTTTTATTCACTTTTAAAACTGGTTTGAGCAAATGCTCAGACCACGTGCTACACAAGGCCTCATGTGGGTCTTATCTTATTGGCGTCTCAGAAGATGTTTTCCAGTTTAAGATTTTTTTGGTAAGAAGCTACAGTAGTCTCAACTAGACACAACGTTTTTTTTTCAACAAATGCTTTAGTTTGTTAGTTTGTACTGTCCTGTTTGTCCAAGAATCTCCCCTTGTGCTTAAGTAGCTAGTGAAATCCTGCAATATCAAGACTGTATCTCTTCTCCCTCGCAAGGATTAATAAATGCTGCTTGAATGATTAAACAAATTTGACATATATTTTTTCTCAGGCCCTTTTGCCACCCTTTGTAAACCCTGTTAAAAATATTAAGATCAGCTCTTCCCTGAAAGCATGGTGGGAATTTCTAAAAATAACGAAGTCATCACTTGGTGCGAGATGTGTTGCTGTGGGCCCTACAATTTATTCTTTATTTTTTATTATTACTATTTATTATTACTATTATTATTATTTTTTGATAATTGTTGGTTTTTTGTGCCGCTCGGTGTAGGATGTATTGCTGTAAGCCCTACAGTTTGTTCTTTGTTTTTTTTATTACTATTGTTATTATTTTTGTCTTTGTTTTTTTCTTCTTCTTTTGGTCTCTGTAGCACTTTGAGATTTCTTTGAAATGTAAGGTGCGTTACAAATAAAATCTATTATTATTATTATTATTATTATTATTATCACTTATCCCGTGCAGTCGTACACCCATCTGGAATAACCCTGACATTCTACAAAACAATGATATGATAAACTTTCCGTACTGGAAGAATAAAGGTATTACATATCTGGATAATTTATTTGAAGGTACGGAGTTTATCACATTTGCTAGATTAAATTTGCAATATGGCATTAACAAAAATAAATTATTTTAATATGACCAAATTAAATCTATAATTAGAAATAAACTTAAGCATATTGATGGAGGTTTACAAATTCCAACTAATATATCAGAGTTTCTAGAGTTAACCCCCCCCAAACTACTGTCTAAATTATACAGGACACTGACTAAATTGGATGATAGAATATCTTTCTATTATTAAATGGGAGGAGGATTTATCAGTCAGCCTTGAACAACGCATCTGGGGTCAGATATATCTACTGTATGAACTTTTAACATGACTAGAAACCCCAATTTACAATTAATACAATTCAAAATCCTCCACATAGTGCACTATACAGGTCAAAGATTATTCAAGATGAGTTTTGCACAATCTAATATCTGTCCACAGTGCACAGGCAATCATCTTGATAATTATTTTCACGCGTTATGGTTATGCACGCCGGTTCAGAGATTCTGGGTACAGGTATGTAAGGACTTATCACTGTGCCTGGGTTGTAAAATCTCACTTTCCCCTTCAGTTTTATTGCTGGCTGACTTTGAGGGAAGCTCTATGGGAAAAAATTGTTTGCATGGCTTTAAATTTTGTTATGTATCACAAAGAAAGCTATCCTCATGAGTTGGAAAAGTAAAGAAAAGCTCAGCATCAATCAGTATTGAGATCTTTTTTTGGATCATATTTATCTTGAGACAGCATCTGCATCCCCATCAGACCAATCTCTTTGGGCTCCTTTGATCGGCTCCATCACTTAGTGGAGTGAGGGGCTGTGGGATGCATCCTGCGGGGTGCGGGGGCTGGTTCAGGGGTCCCTGGGTCCTGGGGCTGTGAGGGGTGTTCGGAGTGGAGCGCCTTGTGCGTCTCACCTCGGGTTCTGCTGCCCCCATCGGGGCGGTGATTGGGATGCCTTTGGGTGGCCTACAGCGGCTGCTCTTGGGGGGTTCCGAGGTGGCGGACGTGGGTTACTGGCCCGGTAACTGTGCTGCTACTGAGTGTGCCCGGGGGTCTGGGGTCCCTGGGATGTGTTGCCATTGGGCTTGTGCCCTGGCGGTTTATCAGAGGTTCGGGTTCTGTGCGGTATGCTGCTTGGGGCCTGGGCCGGTGTACGTCCGGTTGTCTGGCCCTGCCAGGGCCTCTGATGTGCTGGGGGCCTCGGGGCCTGTTGAGCTGGTAGTGGGGCATGGACGTTACGGTTACTGCTGTAAACAATTTTACTCTGCGCTGCGTTACCGGCGGTATGAAAGTACAGCTGTGGAATGGTCTGATGAACTGACAGATTTTTTTTGTTGTTGTGGTTTTCTCTCTCTGTTTGTCTATATCAGACTGTGGTGGGCCCAAATGAGACTGTGGCGGGCACTATGTAATGATATAACCTGAACATTCATATATTTTAGATTCATTGCACACTAACTGAAATATTTCAGGTCTTTTATTGTATTAATACAGATGATTTTGGCATACAGCTCATGAAAACCCAAACATTTCTATCTCACAGAATTAGCATATCATGAAAAAGGTCTCTAAACGAGCCATGCAACTAATCTTCTGGATCACAAAACGAACTCTAAGAACCTGCAAAAAATTTCTGAGGGCTTTAAAACTCCCAGCCTGGTTCATCACTCAAAACCCCAATCATGGGTAAGACTGCCGACCTGACTGCTGTCCAGAAGGCCTTCATTAACACCCTCAAGCAAGAGGTTATGACACAGAAAGATATTTCTGAATGAATAGGCTGTGTACAGAGAGCTGTATCATTAACCTCAGTGGGAAGTCTGTGGGAAGGAAACACTGGCAGAAAAAGCTGCACAACGAGAAGAGGTGACATCCAGAGCCACTGTGCACAGGCGTGTGCAGGATAATGGGCTACAGGCGCCGCATTCCCCAGGTCAAGCCACTTTTGAACCAGAAACAGCGGCAGAGGCACTGACCTGCACTACAGAGAAGCAGCACTGAACTGTTGCTCAGTTATGCATGTCATTTGGAAATCAAGGTGCCAGAGTCCAGTGTTAAGTAGCCACAGTCAGTGATGGTCTGGGGTGCCATGTCAGCTGCTGGTGTTGGTCCACCATGTTTTATCAAGGGCAGGGTCAATGCAGCTAGCTATACGGAGATTTTGGAGCACTTCATGCTTCCATCTGCTGAAAAGCTGTATGGAGATAAAGATTTCATTTCTCAGCACGACCTGGAACCTCCTCACAGTGCCAAAATCACTGGTAAATGGTTTACTGACACTAAGCTCAATTGGCCTGCCAGCTCTCCTTAGCTGAACCCCATAGATAATCTGTGGGATATTGTGAAGAAAAAGTTGAGAGATGCAAGACCCAACACTCTGGATGAGCTGAAGGCCGCTATCAAAGCATCCTGGGCCTCCATAACACCTCAGCAGTGCCACAGGCTGATTGCCTCCATGCCACGCCGCACTAAAGCAGTCATTTCTGCAAAAGGATTCCCGACCAAGTATTGAGTGCATAACTGTACATAATTATTTGAATTATCTTTTATTGGCCAGATGAAATATGCTCATTTTCTAAGATAGGAATGTGGGGTTTTCATGAGCTGTATGCCAAAACATCCATATTAAGACAATAAAAGAAATATTTCAGTTAGTGTGCAATGAATCTAAAATATATGAATGTTAAAGTTTTATCATGACATCATGTAAAATAATGAACTTTATCACCATATGCTAATATTTTGAAAAGGATCTGTATATACATAGATTTTCATAGACGAGACGAACATTATTTACTAAATTTTGACTGCCCTTAATGATATTAGGGAAAATAACAATTCAAGATATCTTAAATCACATTTTGGACAGTCAAAATGCAATTTGGGATACCTCAATGATCATCTGAGTTGTCATTTAAAGTGTCACACATCAGGAATTATAATCAAGATATTTCAGTTATTTTGAACTTGTCAAATCTATATTTTTTAATATCCCGATTATGAAATATCCCCTTAGTGCTGTCACTGAGCTGTCCTAGGAGTTGCCTGCAGAATTGGCTGCAATGCTGCTGGCGTTTTTTGACAAAGTTGTTTCAAATTATGCCACAATACGAAAAGAACTCAGCAGTGTGGGATGTGGAGAGAACAAGAACTTTTTGAACTCTAAGATCCATTTCAATTTAGTTACACGTTTTTTTTTTCATTGTTAGGATAATTATCATTGAAGATGTGTGAGTTTATTGCACCGTTATGGGCTGGCTGTTGCGCGTCAGAACCGATGTTTTAATCTAATTAGGACAGTTTCTCTGTCTCGATATACAGTTATAATCTTCATTCTGCACGTGGCAAAGATTTGGAAATGGAATGAGAACGGCGTCCTTCAGCTAAGTGTAATATTTTGATTAGGCTGGAGCCATGAATGTCTTCTCATCTGCTTATGTGCATGATGTAAAATGTGATGATGTGGCAGACTGGAGATGTATAAAATGCCTTTTTAACTGTTAATCAGTGCCACTTCCTGAGAGGTGAGCCCAGAGGTGATCAGCTGCCTTCCCTAAACTCTAAGCAATTTCTCTGATCTGAGTAAGATTACAATTTATTTCAAAATCTTCCATCATGTCTCCTGGTTATTTAATACAGAAGCTATGAAGTGTTATTTAAAGAGTTTTTCCCGAGTGATCTCTTTTCAGGAAAGGAACTGGAAAGATAGAGCGTCAGGGTGCATACACAGAGCCTATCTTTAACATCATATATTTAAACACTTTTTTTGTCAAAATTTAGAATTTTTATTCAGTAGCTTCTCTTCTCTGCTCCTTTCATCCCTTCACCAGTGTTGACAACTCCCCAGCAACGAAGGCCGCTATTGACTGTCCTATAAGGCGCTAGAAAATGCTTATCGTCCAATCAATAGCTTCATTTCCATGGACTTGTTAGAATAGTTTTAACTCATTCATTGCCAACATGTAGTCTAGCTTACTTTAAATTAGCCAATAGTAGCAATACTGGTTTTCTGATAACCAGTCTATTTTATAAAATAAGTACTCTAAATGAATATTTGAAAGGTGAGTAAAATTATTATATTTTATATATTTTCAGGCTAATTTTTATGTATTTGAATTTGTTAGCAGTTTTTTTTTAAAATTATTTCAGCTGTTTCATGTTAATTACATGAATTAAAAAAGAAAATACTTGACTTGAAAAGATTCAGACATTGTTTTATGAGGTTTTGTTCCAATCTTAATAGATTCATTGCCAAAAGATTCTCCAAAATCAAATCAAAGAAGTGTCCAACCATGATTATGAAGCTGATGTCAGTGGGAAAATTGTCCCCAACTATGTAGGGGCAGTGATAGCCATGCCAGTCCAGGGACTGACAGCAGTTCTACTGTAAGGTGCCTTGGTGTAGGTCAATGACCGACGTACCCCACATGGAACAACCATACCATGCATATTGCCATAGGTTAATAGACTATATT